TAAGCGTCTCAGGCCAGGAATGCCTTGTTTTTCTACAGGAACACCACAGGGCCTTTTTCATACATTCCACTTCATGACTCACCTTCAAGCTACTCTGCACATAAGATCTTCAAAAATTCATCATTTTTGACATTGTGTGTCATCATAGTCAACATGCAAAGACAAGTCTGTAAGATAATGCACTTTTCAAAAGAGGAGGCGGGGAGACTGCAAACGCGTCAAAGAAGCAGCTTTTACACTCAAACCGACGTGGAAAGATTTTCGAGATCTGGAAGAGCACTCTTGCTCAATGCGACAAGACCTGTGCGTCTGGACTGACAGGGAGAGGAACTCGTTTTCCCCATCTGCCACCTCTAAAGAGCGCACGTTAATCGAAACAAGTCCGACTGGTACCCTGTTTTTTTGGGTTTCAGGGAGTGCCATTCATCAGCCTCATTTTTGACAGCACACTTACAGAAGGGAAATAGTTGGTGTGGCAAAGCGAGCAGAGAGGTGATTCTTACCGTATATAACCTGCCGAGGAAATGTGTATGTATTTCACTCCAATCAAGACAAACGAGAAATTAAAATGAAACTGAAGCCAATTTTTTTTATTGTGAAATGTCCATGACATTAAAGCAGTTTGCCCCCCCACACGGTAAAACATTTATGATTTGTAATCACACATTTGTTTCTTTTGTCTAAACTTTCTGCAGTTTTTGTCTAAAAAACATTAAAAAAAAAAAAAAACTCAGCCAACATAATTTGAGTTTCTGTTGATTTAACCAATCTCTACATTGTATTACATATTTTTTTAATTTCAATTAACTCAGTTATAAGGCAACCAAGTATCTTTAAGTTAAAGCAGAAATATATTTTACAGTGCAAAATCACAAGCAAACTAAATGTAATGCATAAAAAGTTATTTGAATTCTGAAACATGTTTACACCATGAGTGTAAAATAAAGTAAAATTAAAGTAAAATCAGTACATGAATTTAATAGTAACAGTTACCAATAAGGTCTCATTCATTAACCTTAGTTAACCAACAAAGAGCAATTCGGCAGTAGTTATTAATCCGTGTTTATGTTAGCTAATGAAATATACTTTGTTCATGTTAGTTCACAGAGCTAACTATTAAAATCAAATGTTGTATTGGTTAACATTAAATGCATCAATAAATGTTAAAAATTAAGATTAATATAAATGCCATCTTTTTAACAATCAAGTTGTTAAATCTTAGTTTAAGTAGCTAACTAATGAAACTACTATTGTAAAGTGTTACCAATTTAACATGAAAATCAATGTCACCTTCCACAATTTATTGTTTCTATACAGGAAAAAATTAGTTATAATTGGTTTGAGTATTATTTTCGGATTACTTTCTCACTTTTTCATGTTTATCGAAAATTGGCTCTAAATCCGGTAAGTTTGGTCACTTACCTTTAACCTACATTCAACTGAAAACCACATTGCTCACATGTGATGTCATTGGTTCTGCATATCGGTTATCAAACAGTTAAAAAAAAAATCAGTAAAAACTAAACAGGCTGACTTTTACACAAAATAAAAAATGGCTTATTTTTGGAGGGAAGTAGCACAGGAACATTTTATTGACAGGCAAGAAAAAAAATCCCAAATCTTAAGGCTTTTAGGTTAAAACCTGCGGACAAGTGGTACTTGAAAAATAAAGATATGAGCTAATGTCATTCGATAAAAATAAATAAATAAACAATTTTCTCCAGAATCAGATTCAGCACACTCTGACCATCAATTCGCTCTGAATGTGTAATAACAGAGTCGACCGTTAGGGGCGTTGAGTGCTGGTGCACCTGCTGCCTAAATAGACAACATACTAAGCAGTGAAAGACTATGGCATGATGAGCCATTTCAAAATCTTCCATAGTGTGATGAGTTTTGAAGTAACATTATTGAAAGTGCGATTACAGTGTCTGGAGAAAATCTTCGCGCTGAACCTCAAGGCTTTTTTTAAAATTTGAGCATCACCACAAGTCTCCCCTCACATGCCGCACGTGGTATGGACCCGCATTATAATTAAGATTGGCGTTTTAAACTGCGTCATGTTGCCAAAAACCAACCTCAGTGCCCAAGTGAGGAGATGATGAAGACAAATGCGGCCAAAAAAAGACATCAAGTGGAAGACTAAACCGCATTTTACCCACGAAAGCACTGTGGAAACGAGCGTTTGTCGGGACAAACACTGGCACGCGCAGCCGGGAAAACGGGAAAACTGGATAACTGGGTCAGGCCAGGCATATACGATTGAGGAAAAACTAAAATTTAATAAAATAAATTGATTGTAAGCGAAACATCTGGTTGAATATTAACTATGCGTTTGAAATAAAATATTTTATTTAAAAATATTGTTGTGACAATAAACTTGTCTAATTGGAGGTATTGACCGAATATATTTAGAGCAAGCTTGTAAAAAAAAAAAGAAATATGTCAGACTGAAACACCTGAATGACTCATAGTGACATGCTTTCTGCGCATAATATATGAATGTATGGCGCCTCCATTGACCATACGCATAAAATACTAATGCCTCAATTAGTCTGCTGATTCAATCTTTCCTTTAGAATTATAAATGTACGTGAGTGGTATTCCTCCCTTCGTAAACGATCACAATAACGTGATAAATTAAATCAGATGCGCAAAAAAGTTACAATTATTAGTTCCCTCCCCCCAAATCCATGAAGTTGAGCTTTATTTAGTTTAAGGCTGCGCCAAATGCGCACTACATTTATCCCACCCATGTCCTGCCAGTTCAGGCGCTCAGTCCCAAAGCATGTCGTTCAACTTACCTGCCCATTTTCCCAATTTGGGAGAGATCAAATCCCCGTTTCCCAGCACCCATATCCTAAAGCCAGTGATGACCAAGTACAACAGCCACAGAGTCAGCGAGGCCGTGGTGAGTGCGCCGACCCAGAAGATCGCTCTGACTGCAGGCTGTAGCGTCTCCACCACGGTAAACGACTCCATGTCTACGGCTGGCTGTACGTAGTGGTGGATGACCTGCAAAATCAGTCGTTATGCACTGCTTTAAAAGCTTCAACGTGTGTGCCGCTTTATAAGCAGGTTGTGGCATCACACCCCTACAACTCCTCTAACATACTAGTCTATCCAGATTTAAGTGCACACCTCCCACATACTCCATCGCCGCCCATGCGAGCCCACGTCCATTGTCGATTGGTCGAAACTCGCGTCCGTCAATCGAAACTTACCGTTTATTGGCCACCGTGCGCGTCAATCACAAAGAGCCCATTCTCATTCATTCGGTTGCCTGTTTCAATGGGGTGGGACCCAAAACTATTCCGCGAGAGAAGCGATTGGACAAACATTACGGCAACCTCCATTCAAATAATTTCATTGGTTGTGATTCAGAACTGTTTTTTCTGTTTCAGTCAGGGTTACGAAACCTCCAAACCCACGCGTCCAACGATCACCCCCCACACTGTTTTATGAATGAAGGTTGTTCCTTATTGGCCACGAGGACTCATATTGTCCCGCCCCCGCTGAGCAGTCGCTGCGATTCTATTGGTCGGCACGAACGCCAGTCACATTAATTCAGTCGCTCTGTCACACCAATGAGTCATACCCTGAGAAAAAAAAAAGACTGGCATGCTTATTTTCTGCATTTTTCTTCGAGAAGCACATGTATGACTCGATTTTTTCCACTTTCTTGGTTCTCCGAAGCACGTAAAAACGTTTGTGATCTAACTAGAATGCCTCAAATCCGCTTGTTTTCACAGTGCTTAGAGGCTTAGAGATGTTAGAGACGTTATTAATGTATTTTGAATATTGAGAAGTCATTGTATTGAGAATGAATTACATTAATGCATTTCATGAGGGCATGGATATGCTTAAAGCAAAACTAAATAAAATAAAAAAAAAATATCTATCTATCTATCTATCTATCTATCTATCTATCTATCTATCTATCTATCTATCTATCTATCTATCTATCTATCTATCTATCTATCTATCTATCTATCTATCTATCTATCTATCTATCTATCTATCTATCTATCTATCTATCTATCTATCTATCTATCTATCTATCTATCTATCTATCTATCTATCTATCTATCTATCTATCTATCTATCTATCTATCTATCTATCTATCTATCTATCTATCTATCTATCTATAACCAGCAAAGTTAGTTGTAGGCCTAATGCTTTTTACATCAGTTCTGTTGTAACAAACAGCTAGGAATATACGTGTTATTCTACACCGTAAACAGCGTGCAACCTAAGTTAAGATGATTTGAACAGTGTTATTTGGGTTATTGTATAATATAGACAAGCTAATTATTCATAATTCTCACGGTTAACATCCTCGCGCGTGAAACTACAATTTCCATACAGCAGCGCTGCACCAAAACATCGCGAGAACTCTGGGCGCGAGTAACGCGGAAGAAAGGATGGTTATGTAAACACATAGGCACGTAGTATGAATGCAGCTGAGCAACCTGTGAAAATACAACGTAAACTGTTGTGAAACACATTTTTAGTCGACTCACACAAGCATGCAGATATGAAAGCGATAACCGAGTGTTGAACGCGGTGAAACTCGCGTTTGACTCTTTGCTTGTGTCTAGCTTGTCAAGTTGACATTCAGTCAGACTCAGACTGGACCACTCAAACACATTCATCCATGCCTAGGCTACTGCCGCCATTCGGTTCAATCACGACCCGAAACTTAACCTAAAATATAAGCCCACCGAATCGTGCACAAAATAAATTACGCATGAAACATTTAAACCACATAGCGTTTAGTAGAAAAAAAGCATTGCCATCGCGGAGAAAAACATGTTTATGTCAGTATTTGTTGTATGATGCTCTGGCTGTGGAAACCCTCTCTCTCTGTGTATTGCCCTCACGCTACTTTTTGTATTTTTATATTTGAAAGGCTCATACACGAAAGTTTTCAATATGTCAGTTTTGCAGATTTTCCCCACACTTATAAATATAAAAAATAAGTAAACAGACTCCAAAATAACGCCAAACATTTTATTTGCACTGACATGGGACAGAGAATACAGACTGATTTCAAAACAACTTCGTCACGTCAACAACAAACTTCCAGCTTTTTGACTTTGCAATATGCAATTACTTTAATCACACCATACGTACAGCTTATTTCATAAAAACTCTTAGCCAAATCGTTAGTTCAGCATATGTTATCTGTACTATATAGAAATTATATACAAAACATAGGAGTGCAAAACTCATGTCAAACACGGGTAATTCTTCAGAAACGATACACAAAAACAGCAAGGCAGAAAACAATAGTACAATTATAAAGCAATAAAAATGTGACACGTAAAGACACGTAAAGCATAAATAATCTGATAGAGCACTACCACTGTTCATTTTTGTTTTTATTATACTACAATGGATATTATATAATACTTTGATAAATTATGCAGAATCTAGATATTTTTACTTTAAACTAATTTCCTTACAAACCTTAAAACACATTTTTCGAAATTACCACACAAACACACACACACACACACACATTTCCTCTCAGCCTTTCACGTAACACTATATATTCCTGCTTTCTGTCCTCGACACTCACATAGGCTACCACAGACATCTTAAGATGAACTCGACGCCTACTATCTTTATTTATTTTTTATTGAAACATATTTGCTTCTACCTTTTTCTGCACTACCCAGGCCCTCTGACCCTTTGACAATTCAAACAAATATTTTTTTCATATTAATTGAGCACAAAGTGGTCCATAAACACTAGTTATGAAACATTATTACATATATATATAGATGATATAATAAACTAATCTATGGAAAGAACGTATAAAACAGCGTGACGGTTATAAGCTCACTGGGGTCGTGTGAGTGATACGTCAGCAGTGTATTTCAGCACCACGCGCAGTGGACAGCTCCCCATTCAACTGTATGCATCTTCAACAATTTGAACAAACTATAGGATCCCAGAAACATGCAACCCTCACAATTATAAAGGACTACAAGCTAAAAAAAACCCAACAACATCCGAGTGCTGCGCCTGGAATTGTCATACTCTTCAACAGACGCGGACGTTTAATGCGCTCACGTTCTTATTACCAGAGTCACAACAAATCCATTCAAGCTACATATAGACAATTATTTAATTAGCACAAATAAAATTAAATCCGACTACGTTTCCCTCCGCCTCTTTGCGTAGCCTATTAAAACAACACAAGCGCTCTCGTACGTTTCGTCTATTCGTGTTCCTCACTTTGGTAAAGAGTTGCAACAAATGCATCTATATCCAATATGAATTTATGTATACATTTTTTTAGTAGCTCAAACACTTTATACGTTATAATTTTCATATCCCGTTAGGTCTCACGCAGCTCACACGTGACAGACGTCTGGATGTGACAACGTAAGCAACGTAAGTCTATCTCATTAATTAAAACCCAGATAGTTTACAGACAAATATAGCAAATACCTGACGGTGTTATTGTGTTCCTAAAAAGAAATTAACTTGCTGAATATCCATTAACAGGTGTAAAGCAGTCTAACAGACGTCGGATTGACGTTGGATCTTCTGGGCAGGATACAAAGTAAAGTTTTCCCAGATCTTCTTATCCTATGGGGGGAAATAAAATGCATCTTAGTATTTTTTTAAAAAGATCACATCTTCTAAATCATGCATCATTTATGTATCATCTAAAAAAAGACTGAAGGCATTAAATAAAATTAAAATATAAATTTAAAACATATATTTCAGGTTTTTATCAGCACTTTAGCTCATTCAGAAAATATAGCTCATTCTATAACATTAATTGAGAGCTTCATATACTGTTAGATTGACACAGGCCACATTATACTGGTTAAAAAAATACAAACACTGATAAAATGCCATACCTTTTTTATTTTTCCCTCTCACATGTGAAAGTTGTGGATCAGACGATTAACCGTAGGACCTCATCACGATTTTATCACGACTGAGGCCTTTTTTCGAAAGACAAAGCATGAAAAAAACAGATAAAGAGTTATGATTTCAAACATCAACAGCGATTATAGAACATTTACTGTAATATAAATATTTGCTTAGGGTGTGTTCTTTAACAATACATATTTTTCACACAAATAGTCTAAGAAGCGTTACATATGCTGTGCGCACACACATACACACACACATACTCTAACGTCACATGCACATCCACATGTATCATATCCACTTCCATCCTGCATCAAGATATAAAAACAACCTTTTCATATTGACCACAGCTATACCAATTATTTAAAGCCGACAATTAGTCCTGCTTTCTCAAACATCTAAAATGAATATTGGGAAGAATAATAGCTCTAAACTTAAAGTTCGAGCATATTTAAGATTCAAATTGTGTTTAAAATTATTCAGGGTCATTAAATATTATAGAAAACGCTGTAATTTGGCAAATTTACTGCTAAAGCAAACAACAACAAACACTTAAATATGAGATGCATTTGATATATATTTACAAAACTGTACATTTAGACATAACGCATTTAAAAAAAATATAATCAATCAAAATGTAGCTAAATTATCTTTAACAATGCATTCTGATGTGTTGTACTATATAACTGCATGTCTTTGGCTCGTACGTTTCACAACCTCTCGGCCATGTGCTCACAAACACACACACACACACACACAGCCCTTTACATGTGCGCAGACAATTGAACGCAAGTATTTACACACACATCTGCACTTACACGCTCATATATGCTTGCATTCGGTTTTAGGGCCTCTAAACAATCACATAAAGCCTTACAACATGAACACACACATCCCTGCACACTCTTGACCAAAACACACACACACACACACACACAGAGGCCTTGAGATAATGATACAAAGCTTTCTGATATACACTTACACACATTTTGTTCATAAGCAAATGACGTACTGTCTGTAATAACGGTAAAATTAGCATGCTTTACATTCACTTACACACACACACACACACACACATTCATAAATATCTATGCGTGTACTCTTACGTACATGCAAGGTTTTGCAAGCACACATGCACCTTAAAATAATACAAAAGCTTTTTGACACACACTAACACATACACGTTCCTGTACATTCATATTGATGTGCACACACTCACACACACTTGCTTCATCTGTCCTATTCTCAAACATTATATATATATATAAAATTGCATTGATTCACAATGGTTTACTTGAACATTTCACACACACCACAAGTTATACACACACATGAATAATTTTATACACGAGATGTTTTACACACACCAACACACGCACACATTTCTCGAGCATTTTTGCTGATACACTCTCTAAACTGTCAAAATAACACACATCTACCTCTACATTCTCTAACAAAAGACATATGTTTTCACAAGACATTTCACGCACACACATCCAGAATAAAATGCTATTATTCCGACACACACTAACACTCACACACATTCCCAGAGCATTTTGCGTGGGTATGCAAACATATGACACTAGCAACACATCTCACATCTTATATATGGACACAAACACACACACATTTGGCCTGAACAATGATAATTTGCTCATGACAGTCAAATGTGTTTCCTGAGACCCCCATGCTGAATACATACAGACTAGTCAAGAACTGACTATGCACAATATATAGTATAAGTTACTGATTTCAAATCAAACACAGAATCATTATTCAAACAGTACATATGTGTGTGTGTGTACAATGATAAATATAAATGTATGTAAACTGGTCTGAGGTTATGTGCTTTTACGTCTAATGTTGTTATACATCAGTCGCATGGCTCTACATTTCATACAAACAAAAACACACACAAAAAGTCCAAAAACAGGGAACATAACTATTTTAACCCTCTAAAAACTTGTGTGATGGCTTACAATGTTAAGGTGAAACTGAGTGACAGTGTTGATTGGTTTCTACAACTTGTCTTATTTTGAATAGACGTTTTTGCATTACTAAAGACAAGCCGTTTAATACCAGATAAAACACATACAAAGTTTTAAATGCGAATGAATTGATGCATCTGTAATCCCAAAACTTACGTGCATTCAGAATTTTTTCTTTTATTGCATTCACTTTAACAAAGAAATGTGTTTTTGTGAAATGTCTATGTTTCTGATGCATCCATTCTGCATTGCTGATTTGATAAAACGGATTAATACGGATTAAAAAAGACGAGGTGTAACTGTATCTAAACAGTATTCATTTTGGTCAGCAAGACTGCAATGATATAATAAGCGTCTCCCTCTGTACGTTGTCGTCTTTTTATGTGCCGTTGGAGCCTGTACTTTCCTCACGTCACTATCAGACCAAACCTGTTACATCTATATTGCTTTTTTAACATTATATACCTGATTAGCAACCACTTAAACACCTTATTTTGTTCTTTTAATACATATAATAATGATCATTCCTCTTTTAGAAGATATTCCAATCGGAGCAAACCACATACACACTTGATTTTTTTTACATAAAGAGAGTTATTTACATTTCTAACAGTGATTTTCAGACATCACACTGCACTCAAAAAGCTGAATTTTGCTTCTTTTCTTATTCTCGCTAGGTGTGAATGGATTGTCAGAAAGAATGTTTTTGTCATTCTAACTATTCTAACAAGTGCGGGACACTCCCATGCTTCCCTATGAGTGTGTTTGGGTCTAAAAGGTGTCGGTTGATACCTCTTTTATTGGTCAACTCCCTCTTTTTCCTCCGACAACTTCCATTTCCGTCAGCCGTCCTTGTCCTTCCATGAGGAACGCAGTCGGTTCAGCTTCACAGCTCGCTTTTGCAAAGATGTCTACAAATAAAAGACACAATTACCAAAGAAACCCTATAAAACATCCAGACATGATGCAGCCAAACACAAACACACACCCACACATCTGCATTCTTTATCTGTGCTAAAATTGGTGATTCAATTAAACACTAATAATAATTCATATTTTTCTATTGTTTTAGTTTATTTTATAGTATTTCTTTTGTCTTTTTTAAGACTGCTCCATTGTAAAGTTATAATTTCTTCTCCATTACATTACAATCTTTACTTATTTCATCCAATAAATTCTTACACACTTTATATCAACATACTTGGAGATCTTTTTATAAATCGATATGATCAGCAATTAAATAATAAGAGAAATTTCATCATGATCAAACATTTTTTGGTTCCATTTAGTGCTATTTGCTAAGGTTACTGAAAATTTCAGATTTACATTTAAAAGTATGTATTTTATCAAAAGAACCACCATATTTAAAATGAACTGACCATGTTTAAAAACATAGCTGAATTTAACTGAGAAATAATTTTCATATGCATCATTTAATGCAGAGTAGATGTATTTCTGCGGCAGTGAGGTCGTGATATGTTCTCATGACGGGACCACCCTCTTAGGTACAAGCGGACACTCCCCTTCCCTAAAAATTCCATCCGGAACTGACTCATCCCTCACACCTTCCCTGACTCATCCATGTATGGATAGAGGGAATGTGAGAAAAGAGGGAAAGAATGAACGAGGAGAGCGCATATGCATATATTCTGCTTGTCAATCCATATGCAATCCATTTGATAAGTGTTATTTGTTGTTACGGGAGGCTAATGTTGGCATCATGTTCCTGTGGACTGATTCGAATGACAGTTTATCTTATGTCATTTTTGCAAACAATTTAGGAAAGCCACAGGATTCTTGAAGTGGTAAAAAAGGCTTTAGATGTTATTTAGTGTCACCATAGCATGATGAAATGTTCAAGAGGAGATTAAATAACATGTCTAACATGACACAATATGTCAAAGACCGGCAATAAAATGTTGAAAGAGACCAGAGGGAATGAGCTGAGGGAAAGAAAGAGGGTAAAACAGTGAACAAAATGAAAAAAAAAAAAAAAAAACCTCTTGTTTCATACTTTTAAATTATTTTTTTAGCCTGATTTAGATTGTGGTTATTAATAGTTAAACATGAGTGTTAAAAAGAAATTAAAAACTTTATCTTCAAATAGTATTAAGTCGAGAAGGAAAAACAATTACACATTTGTTTCGAAAAAATAAACAAACACTAGTTTAAACTCACTATAAATCTAACTTTCACTGAGACGTGCATCTTTAATAAGATAAAACTGACTGGGTGAGAATACCGGCTGATGTCTTTTTCTCACCAGGTTAATCAATCAATAAACGTATACAGTATATAATGTATGAAAATGTATATGATATTATGACAAAACTATTTGTTATATTTATTTTTAAAGAGGTTAAGTCTTCAAATTAAATAAATTTCTAAATGAAAATATCCCATTGCAGCCAGTGTTGGGTCCCTATCCTCACTTAAATTATAATATAATGTCAGTAGAATATGACTCATAAAAGGAACAAAATATTATTTATGATATTATATGATAAATCTGTATTAAAACACTTGATCTCATATTGTTTGTCAGCATCTCAACGTCGTGGAATTTCTTCTGGGAGTTTTTTAAAAGTTAAAAACAGCTTAAAGACCAAAACAGACAATTTTGTGTCACTTATTCCTTAAAAAAATACAGTTTAAAAAAAAAGTTTGACTAATTTAGTCTTTTAGGGTCCTTCGTACAGTCCAGCCTGTGTTAATACTCTCCCTTACTATGTAGGTGATAACTATTTTTTACGATACACACAAATAATTTTTCCATTTAAATTAAGTCCAGGGTGATTTTGGTTCATTGTTTTTTAACTAAACTGCAATGACCACTTAGCAGTACTGTCACTACTGTTAGATGTCACACACTAAAATCTCTCAAACTAAAACTGTTGATGAGTCAATCCAAATATCAGATTTTACACAGCATACGTAGCTTCATTTTTTATATTTTGCAGCTTAACATATATCATATAACTTCAGTGGTCATTTCACTGAAGACTTGCAATACAAGTCAATAAAAGTAAAGGTGTGTAGTGAACGCTAGTGCAGACACCAAAATAATATAATATTTTCAAATCCTTTTGTTTTTCTTAAAAAAATATACTTTTTCAAAAATATCAACATATGCATATACAGATATTAAATCAGTGTGTGTGTGTGTGTGTGTGTGTGTGAGAGAGAGAGAGAGAGAGACTCTGTGCCTATGCACATATCAAGTATACCTGAGAGAATATGTTTGTATTCTTCCTAATTGTTATCAATAAATATTGAATGTGTATTTAACATAAATAGCCTACAACATGTAAACCCGAGTAGTGATTCAATTCACTATAGAAAAAAAAAACATGCCATATCTACAAAACCAATACCAAAGGTAATATTCCTTTTTAATCAAAACGTATACTTATACATTAAAAGAAAGACTTTCAGGGCGTTTCATTGTAAACAATCGGAGCACGTAAGACGTCACAGGCCTGAAACCATCCAACAGTTTCGTAGGCGTAATAATAACAGAAAAAAAACTTCAACATTTGAAAATTTTTAATATTGACAAACCCTATCCCTACTGCAGCTTTAAACGGTTACTGACATAAGAACAAAAGCAGAGGCCACTCTCGCAAAGAACTGAAGCGAAAAGAATGAACTTACGAAGACGGTGACGTCACGACGTGGGAACGTTCTGTGACTCGAACCGTTCGTTTCACCTTCTCTTCTTGACATGATGGATCCCTCAAGTTTTGTCCTGCCCTGTGCACAAACACAAGAACCCAAAGTTGTACATAAACACTATTGGGATCGTTTGGAAAGCGCAGTTTAGACAGATACAACACGTTTAGTGAATTAAAAGATAATGGGGCGAAAAATAAAGCTTGGAAGCCATTCACATACACCGTCCCATTCATTCAACAAAAACACGTTTGGTTCACTTTTCAAGTAAGTTTACAGAGATTCACTAACTGTAGTAAAGTGACGTAAATGTGCGTCACGAAAAGTTAGACGGCTACGAAAACTCTATAGGACAAACACTGTGAGAAAAATCAATCTATCAAACTTTAAAGCTTAAGAATAACTGATGGCATTAAGTGTTACTTAAGGAAAGTTCACTGCACTTTTTGACCACTTGGAATTCAGTAACTGTGCAGAAAACTAGAGTTGAAATTAGATAAATTATTGGATTTTAAAATTATTGGAGTGAAATGGATAGAAAAATATGCTTTTTATCATAAAAAGAAAACATTCTGCTCGGCTAGAAGCGTTCCCCCGACGCTGTTTATACACCATTGTAATGTTTCAAACCCTATTTAATTATGAATTCCTGCAGTCAGACATGCCATAATGATATACAATTATAAGGCCACCAATATCCGCGTTTCTTTCCATCCGAAAACCTGTAACCCCCCCTTCAGTCTTCGCTGCTCACCTGGACTCGTTCGCATGAGCATCAAATTAATAATTTGGATCAAAAAACGTGTTAAAACTCAAAACGAACACTTACATGATTGCATATTACATTTTAGCTAAAGTTTGACCAATGTTCTTGAAGTAAGGACAACTTTTTTCAAGACTGGATGCATATCGAAAATCTTGGGACGAAGGCTACGTAATATGTTAAACTTCATAAAGTTAAAGTTTTTAAATATGCATTAACCAATTTCAGGAGAACCTCGTCTTGACGTCACCTTTTCTTATTGCTCCATTTATAAACAAAGCAATGCATCTCTGTTATAATGCAATAATGTGTGAGGGTACACACCCTGAAGAAATTTGGGGTTGTCGTCACTAAGGGACTTTGGAGCCCTTTCCAAAATGGTGTAGCACATAATGGGGGCATTTATTTGCACTTCCTCTAGCATATATAGGACAGGGAACAGTTGAGTGTCACCGAAAACGGGAAATGACTTATGAGGCACTTGTGGGACCTGACTTCAAGATTGTAGTGACACGGATCGCGTCACTTCTCAGCTGTTGAGAATTTCTCAATGGACTGTGTCTGCATGGTATAAAAAACTTTATCACTCAGTGTGTCTACATGTTATATCCTGAATTTGCGTAGGTGTGTCATATTTCATCGAGGTATCATATTTCCCAAATACTGTGTGCGCGCGTCTCTCTCTCTGTGTGTGTGTGTGTTTGTGTGTAAAAAAGGGAGAAAAGAAATAAAATAAAAGAAAGCAAGGTTGAGTGAAACCTTGTTGTCTTTGGGCATCTATATGGTGACGTGTTCTCTTACACACACTCTCTCTCAATCTCTCTCTCACTCACACACACACACACACACACACACACCATGACACTCTGTCAATGGGCTGATATTTTAATTTCAAACCTGTGTAGAACTATAACTGCGTCCGGCAGGGTTTTACAGCTTACATGTTATTGCGAACAGGGTGGGGTCATTTCAACATTGTTTGGCTTCTAAGTGAATAGCACTAACGAGATGGCCCCCTATCTCTCTTTCCCTCTCGCTCTCTCTCTCTCTCTCTCTCCCCCGAATGGACCACTGTGTTTTCCCACGTGCAAACTGGGAGGCTCGTTGGTGGAACTGTGGTTTTGTTTGGGTGACTTTTTATAATCGTATTAACGAGAGCAAATGGCAATGGAGACGCCAGATAACTCTCGACAGGGAGGGATCTCAGACTTTGGGGACGGATATAAGTGGGAGAGAAGTTCGGCTTTACATTTGAGCCGCAATACAGTAATGACATTAAAAAAAAAAAAAAAAAAAGAACAAAGTATTTTGAGAAAATAAATACAATAATAATAATAATGCAAGCATTTAATCCACGCAGCGTATGGAGCATCAATCGGTGAATGCGCCTTCCGCAAATGCTTTTTGGGGTAAGGGCTTCCCAGCTAGATACTTATGAACAGCAAGCCCAGACCGCAAAAAGATTCGCGAAAGACAAATCGCAGCCTGAAGTCCGTGACATCAAACAGTGACACCCAGGTGGCTTGTGCATGGCTCTGGTTGGTTTCCCAATCCTATTGTGTCCAGACATCGGGAAAAACGAGACAGCGAAGCCCTTTTTTTCCGTGGCTGAACTGTATCCAACTCATTCACATTCTACGAGCATGGGAAGCTTTGAGAGCAGCCAGCATCCAAATGCCTGTATTCTGCGTGCGAGCGCTGTCCGCGGTGCTGAATTCACTCACTCCTTCCCAGTACTTTATTCTCGCTGGCTTTTCTATACCGACTCGTGCCTATACCGACGTGCGCTGCTATAATTACATCTAAACAAAGACAAACATATGACACAGCGACCATTTAGCTCATTTCTTTTTGCTTCGCCGTTTTGTTGCTACTATGAAATATATCCTCTGCTTCGTGATGCCGTTTAGCGGAGAGCTGAGCAGATGAAGCGCTCTTGGTGAGGAGAGAGCAGTCTGTAATCTGCTTGCAATAAATAGAGAGCAGCGAGAGATCTTATTGGCGCAAACAAAAAATCGTCATCCACCAATCGGTTTCTTGCTTATATAGGGACCCCCCTTTTTGAAAAAAAAGAGAAAGGAAGAAAGAAAGGGGAAACCAAATTGTATCCTCGTTGGCGCAAGTGACCAGAAATATTCCATGTAAGACAATAACATTTAATGTTTTCTGTTTTATTCGTTCGCCGTGTCACGTTTCAAAATGTCTCTCTCTCACACACACCACGTCATTCTGCAAGGGCATCTTCGTGTGTTCATTCAAAACAGAGATATACAAATTAGGGTCATTTTCAAAACGGAGGCGTCCAAACATTTTGGAGGCGTCAGTTTTTTTTTTAACGTGCATGTAAAACAAAACACATCGCCAGCACGACGACAACAGCACGACAGGCTTCTAAGAGCAATTTCATTTCATGACCACAGAGAGTTCACTGGCTGATACCACTTAGTGAGGACACGGGGGTCTCTAAACTATCAGCAGAACATAACAAATTCTATACATTACAGTTGCATCACATCTGACATCGCCTGCAGGCACAGCAAAACAAAAAAACAAAACAATGGTGCGTTATACTAAGCTATATTGGCACCACAAGAACTTTACACAAATATTCCACAACTTACAACAACAGCATTTGGCAATTGCATCAACAGCAGTCAATTTCTCACCACTTAAGTGAAAAACATTAATAATGGCACGAAAACTCCACACAAATGGGGTTCTCAGTGATCCCTCTGGTACATATTTTGGCCATACACTAATTCCAGCTGTGGAATGTGACTTCATTTCACTTACCCGTGAAGTTCTTGCATCTACGCGATCATTTGTCAAATTTCACAAGAGCGGCTCTTCTTGGAACTATGCAAGAAACAATACGAAGGACCACCCCCCCCCCCCCCCCACACACACACACAACCCCCCCTCCCCAGTCTAAATTCATCCCGAACCAAGACTCCCCCCTCCCTTCCTCTTAATCGCTGATATTCTTCTTGCGCCTTCGTGGTGCAAGGGGAGGTTGAAGTGGCTAGGCAAAAGAGATATGGCTTGAGATGTAACAGGTGTAAAAAAATAATACTAATGATATATTGTTTTAAAATCAAGCCCAAATGCCACCATTATGAGGATTTTATTTAGTGGTCGCATCATTTGCGGACGTCTCCAGTCAGTCACGATTCTCCACCTTCTGTCTGCACCGCACAGCGACTGCATCTCCTGACGCAGCCAACGCGCACATATTACTCACTATAGCAGTCACGACTCGGGTAAATCCGTGTTTCCACTAAAATTACAACGCCAGCATTGACTTAAGAAGATCTTGCTATGTCTGGGATAGGTGTAGAGAGCCACAGTGTCTTTGAAAAGGTCAAGGTATTGAGTTTTTTTTCCTGCAAAATATCCGCGGTCATTCCTGGACTCACTACGACTTTAACTCGCATGTATTTTTTGCAGGGAATATAACCCCTTAACAGTTTAAACCTTGTGCACGAAATTTGACATTTATTAAGAGGTGCTTTGATCAAAACAACACTAACGTGTTTTTTTTTTTTTTTTTTTTTTTGCGCAGCTGAACAAATGCTGTTGGACGCGACGCGAACGCGTTAGTTTTTGGCACAAGATCAGTAGTATAGTCCACAGCAATAAAAAGCAGTCGATTGCAGTACTGTATAATGAAAATGACGTGGGCGGAAGAGTAATCCATGTGAATCCGCCTATAGCTACACACAGTCTCGAGCAGATCTGGTGGCCAAGTGTTCAAACAACGCACGCGGGAACATTTGCGCGCGCACACACACAAAAACGTCCTAAAACTTAAGTCGCATTTTGAGAATGTGTGGCTAATGGCATCCCTTTCACGGGTGGTGGCCAAAACAAGGGCTGACCATTTAGGGCGATTTTGGATGCACGGAACCCCTTGAAGCCACACCAGGGTTTCCCTCGTCGGCTGTTGCTGGTGTTGGTGTTATTCCTTTTGGCGCGGCGTCTTCCACCTATTTATTAGTCTATTTTCCTCTTCACATATTTTGAGAGATATGTCCCCTCACTCTTCTAGTGTTGTCGGTTTCCATTCACACTTTCAGCGAAGAGGCAAAAATTGACTCAACAGCGCCGTCAGACAAAGGAGTTTGGATTTGCTTTTTTTGCTTCACTTATTTACCATTCGCGAGGTTCCTGCTCTGAGGAGAGAGTGGTGGTTTATTGCAGTTCTAACAAGTGGATGAAAACAACAAGGCACCTGTTTGACAACAGCACTTAGTATGCATGAAGCAAATGGTTGCACTCTGTTCGGTGGAGGGAATGGCACGTTACTCAATGCATGCAACAAATCGTGCAAAAAAAAAAAAAAACCCCAAAACAAAACAAACAAACATTTAATCGAACCAAAAATCGCCGTGAATGTGTACTTACCAGTGCAGCGAGCCCTTGCTGAAAGCAGGGAAAACACAGACATGAGTTAAAACCATCATACGTGAGTGTGTCACACAAAAACAAGCAAGATGAAAATCAAAAACTGCCCTTGATGCATATCTATCCCCAGCAACACGTCCAAGTTTTCTCAGAATCGCAGTCCTTTTTATACAAGTGATACACTCTTCCTATTTCTGGACCACGATCAAACACTGATGCTATTTTTAGCGCCCAGTAAGAAAAAACAACACACTCACAAAGACATCGCTCAGGAGCGTTACGTGGAGTGCATGTAATGTACATTAATTTTGCCTCTCCAACTCCATGCGAGGGCTCCGACTCGCCTCCGATGCATCGCTGCAGTGATTTTCTGTTTTTTTTTTTTTTTTCCCAAACGAACTGCTTCAGTAGGCTACCCCTGACATATGGGCTAAATATTTCTAACGTTCGCTTGAGAGTCTTTTTCTTAGAGTTGTTCCCGCTCTCCTCGTTCCTTTATGTCGCTCACCGTCCTCTTTATTATACGCGTCTTACGCGGTGTGTCTCCATGCAACTTTCGCTTGGAAACTCGGGACGGATTCGCTGCTCATAAAGAAGAAAACACACGCACGCACTCACGCACGCACTCACACAGAGACATACGCGGGCTCACGCGCACAAACAACCATAATCAGTTGCACTGCGAGCGGAATATGTTTTGTCTTGAGAGCAGTACACAAACGATGACAATTAAAGCTTGCAGAATCTCTCTCTCTCTCTTTTTTTAAAGGGCTGCGTCAGTTACTAGGCATTGACGTCACGTTTAGGTTTTCCCACTTCACAATCCATGGCTGCTGATTACAACCGTCCCTGATGTGCTCGCAGACAGCCTAACGCTAATGAAAATGGCTCGAAGCAAGCGAAAACGGGCTAAATAGGTGAGAGACGTAAAGTGTCCACTTTGCAAGTGACCACAGGTCCGGTTTTTGCAAGAGAAACCACTCCTTGCGGTCGCCTGGCGTCGTGGAAACACTCAATTGCCAATGGATTCCGTGTAGACACGCACCACTAGCCTATATATTATGTTCAAGCATGTTAGTTGTCCCATTTGATGATTCTGGATACGTTGTTTAGGGAGATCACTAAGGGAGACGTGTGTAAAAAGTTGGTGTTGGCGTGTTGCTATAGGGTTGCACGCGAGGAGTGCAATATTAGTGTCTAATAATATTTTCGAATTCAGCTTTAAGTCAATTAAATGTTACAAACGACCGTGCAACCCTGACCGAAAGACTCCAAAACATGTCGAATTGCATAGCCCACCACTTACAGTGAACGTGCAAAACACAAAGTAATTTTACCAGTGCGGTGGAAACATGGAGGGGAGGGGAGGGGGGGAGGTGGCATCTTGCCGCTTGGTGTCGCCAAACTCCATTCAAGAGCAGCTAAAACTAGTGGTAGTTTGCTTTAAAAATCGCATTAAAATAGTTATTCGCTTATGTGTGGTTATTTATTAAATTACTAGTTTATTTAACAAAATCAAATCGCTTAAGGCACGCGAAATCGATAGTTTTGCGACTCGGGCGTCACTGTCCGTGGTGCTGAAACGATCGCGTCAAGTTTTTTCAACAGACACGAACTTGACTACATAGAATGCACCTCAACAAGGTTGTTTATATATTAAACACATGAAAACGGCACGACCCCTACCATTTCATCGCCCTGCCATGTTAGCTACAAGTGTATGAATGAATAGAAGCTTCTATTCATAAAACAGTGCGATGTCCCGACTCCTGATCCTACCTTCCCGACACACGGGATGTTCCAGAGTGTCGTCGGACTCCTGATGCTAAAATTGGAGGATCGTGAATGAGCGGGCGGTGACGAGTTGTGTGTGGGGGGAACCGAAAATAGGTAAATATTTAGATCAAGGGCATAAATATAACATTTGTCATCATGCTTTCCTTAAAATAAATCTGTCCTGCAAAGAGTGACAGAAGTGGCGGATTTGATCTGACAATGAAGCTGGACGTTTGCACCCTCCGCTAAATCTAAAAATACCTCGATTTCGGCTGTGTGGGCTTGATCTCGCTTAGAGCTTCTACTCATTGAACCCACCTTGCCAAATCTGATAGGGACAGCAGTCTAGAGTCTGTGGCTCCAAGAGTGAAAATCACAAACCTGCAAAAAAAGAGAGCAACAATTCACGCGTTTTTTTTTAAATGTATTATATAATTCAAATTTAATATATAATTTTACAATTATAAAAATTAAATATACATTAAACAATAAATTGTAGGCTAAATAAAATAAAAGAGGAAAATAATGAGGAAAAAAGTCTGATCTGATTGGCAGCTGCCAGTCAATAGCAATTTGAGCACTTTAGAAAGTGCCAAAAAGTCTTGAGTGACTTAACATTCACCCTTCTATGCGAGATTTAATGGGGTTTCTCTTGCCAACCTAGAAACACCATGGTATAAGTGCATGGCACAAAATGCCAAGTTTTGCTTCGTCCAAATGTTTAATGTGATCTCAGACCATCCTTGCATTTACCATGACAAGATATGAATGACTCAGTATTAACAGAGTCCAGAATTACACTGTTCCCACTTGCAACATGACATCATGACTTTTGCGTAAACATACACGCCACTTTCAAGTCAAGCGTCCTATCCGCGTGTATTTTTACGCCATTAATGTCCGAGTGATTCCGCGTGTATGTACACGCCGTTAAATGTCCGAGCGAAACGAAGCAAAATGTAGATCTACATCTGGGGAGCGAGATTTTTTTTCCTAGGATGGTAGGGGAAGACTCATAAATGGTATTAACCCCAGTGACGGGTAGGTTTAGGGACAGGCCTGGGGTAGGTCAAGTAGTTATATATACAGTAATGTAACGTTAAGTCAAAAGCGATTATGCGTCTTGATAGCACGCCAAAAATGGAAATACGAATTGGCGTATCATACACACGCAATTTCATGAGATCAAAGTTTTCATTTACCATCCGAACCACATCGTCATTTGTGACTTCAGGCAGGTTGTGGAGAGATTTGGTCCAGCGGTATCTATCGGACTCCACCATTGTAAAAAGAAAACCGGAAGAGCCATATCCCTACTAAAAGACGTACTTCCGGTCGTTTTTTCGCGACATAGGCCTATTGTCCAATTTGGTGAGCCCGTGTGAATTGTAGCCTCAGTTTCTGACAGGTGTGTCTTCTGCTGCTGTAGTCAATCCGCTTCCAGGTTCGACGTGTTGTGCTCAGAGATGCTCTTCTGCAGTGCAGACCTCGGTTGTTATTTTAGTTACTGTTGCCTTTCTATCAGCTCTAATCAGTCTAGTCATTCTCCTTTGACCTTTCACCAACAGAACTGCCGCTCACTGCATATTTTCGGGCCATTCCCCTAGATATGGTTGTGTGTGAAAATCCCAGTAGATTTTTCACCTTTCTTCCCCCCATTGTGTTGCTTAGTTTGAACTTCAGCAGATCTTGACCATGCATGCCTAAATGAGTTGAGCTGCTGCCATGTGATTGGCTGATTAGATATTTGCGGTTGAACAGGTGTACCCAACAAAGTGGCCGGGTGAGTGTATATGCTGGGATGAACGCATCTCATCAATCTTTACTGTTGACAGACGAGTGCTCACACAGGAAGTCTTGGCCATAATCGTCCTCCAAGTCCCATTAATAACACAACCCAAAATATTTGCTTTGGCCTTTCGTCACATGTTTCTTTTTCCTTTGTTTGATGTCCCCACCCATCCCTATATCTCCTCGGTTTGGTTCCACTACGACCAGAGACATGGATGTTCTAGGAAACAGACACGGCTCCCAGTGGTTTCTATTGGAGAGTTGAGAGGGGAATCAGAATTGATGAGGGTTTGTTTGAATTTCAAGCTCAGATTAAGAATCTCCGCCCTTATAGCCCTTTCTCTCTGTTTATTTTTCCGTCTCTCCTGTCTAAATGATGTCAATGGAAGCCGAGCTATAGAGCTATTTATAGAATCTCCCCCCTCCCATCAGAATCACATGGTTCAGAGCCGAGGCACAATGACTACCTCAAGAGAAGAGCCTGCATGAATAGAGACGGTGAATATTTATGAACGGGCAAGCTGTCACATTATGTCCCTCCTGCGTAACATGTTAAGAATGTCATGTGCACGTTCTCATCATCCACAAAGTTAGCCGTCATTCATTTATTCACTAATTCATGCGTTAACCCCTCTAGTAATCTATTCGTTCATTCAAGAGTTAGTTGAGACCTGAACTTCCCCAAATGCATTACGACAACAAATCAACAAACTAACTTGTGCATCCAAAACCCCGAGGGTCCAGCCTTGTTTGCATCTCTCAGCTGCTGCTCGCATGATCCTCACGTTTCATCCAGCCCCTTGTCTCCATTCACATACATAGGCCTCTTACATAACAAGAGAGAAAGGTATTAAAATGCATTTACGGTCAGACAGGTGATTTGTGCAGGGAGAAGCGACATTGATGAGCAACAAGCAAAAGGCACATATTGATCTATGTTTCCACGGTTATAAGTTATCGAAGACGTGTCGCATAGTCTATTTATAGCGCTATGTGTACAGCCGCACGTGTGGAAAGCACTTCTTTCGGGTTCCTTTTTGACATGTTAACACTCACTGGTTGCTATATTTAGTAAGCCTGGCAGTGCTGTTACTATTCCAGGCATTGTACATGAGGGGGCGGATGGTTCTCTTTCATGAAAAAGAAGATAGCGTTCCTTTTCTTGCAGTTCTTCAGCCATACTTCTGTCGCGTGTCTTTGCAGGGTGCGACAACTCGTTTCCAACTTCCACTGCAGAACACTGGGAACAAATGAATATGTATGGCATTTAGTCAAATGCATCATAATGGGCATCGTTAAATGAACGATTCTGGTTATGATTCCGATTCACACTTGATTTGTTTACTTTACGGTTCCATAGAAGCAGAGACAGAAAGGAGGAACATTTAGAAAAAAAAGCTATTCTTATTGCGTTTACTCACCCTGCTGTTGCTTGATGATGAGATTATTTCAGATTTCACCAGAACAGACATAAAACCAGAAATAAAATTCTTGCAAAAGCTGTATTGACTTTTGAGAGGCGGCACAAATGCAAACTATTAATTGGTACAGCATGTTAAATAAAAAAAATTTGAATATATGAAGAGTTCAGATGCAAAAGCCTCTAAGTGCCATTTGAAATTTTCTTCTAGAATGATCATTTTTATCAAGCTTGTATATTTCAGTTCAGTAATTTCACTTAAATGACAATTAATAGGTAATCTTTATTGCCATTTAAGTGAAATTACTTAACTTAAATATACAAGCTTGATAAAAATGATCATTCTAGAAGAAAATTTCAAATGGCACTTAGAGGCTTTTGCATCTGAACTCTTCATATAAAACATATTTCATCTTTTGGAAATACCATACAACAGAACTGTTTAATGTAGGCCTATACGATCAACTATATGAACAACTGAACGTAAGGGTGTTTATCAAATTCACAGCAGCCTACTCATAAAAGAGTATACAAAAGGTAACCGGACGACCTTCTTCTTCCGGCGAGATTCTGAAGTGTGTAAACAATGGACACTTTACTATTCGACGAGGCCACAGATTAATGAGTGACAGTGAAGCAACACAACTGACGCTAATAGGTCACGTGACATCATGGCGAATATAGTAGCCTATGTCCAGTTTACATTCATCCTACACACATTCTTCATACTATATAACATATTTCATTGGCGGGCGTGAAGCAATTACTTTTTCAAAATAAATAGCCTACCGGTTCAAGAGAGTATGCGATTTCGGA